GTTACATTCCTTTGAAGGATCAGACGATTATGTTTATGATGTTAAATGGTCACCTTGTCATCCAGCGCTGTTTGCCTAGAATAAGTACCACCAATAACATATTTTGGATGAAAATCTGAGAATGCAACAGTAAGTACATCCGACTAAATACGTAATATAGAAATATAGTAAGATAATATTAAGAGGACGGTATTTCTATATTAATAAATTTACTAACTTGTGAATGGAAAATGAATTCTGGACGTTCAAGTAATCGTAAATTCCACACTAAAACTGCACCATCCGGTTCATTCATAGCAATTGGATTTTTATTGTAAGCAGCAACAACAAGTTCAGGATTCTATAGTGGCAAATTAATCATAATTAGAATAATTAGATCAAAATTCTGAATTATTATTATTATAAATACATGACTAAATCTTACTTTTTTCGACCAATTAACATCAGTTACAGAACGATTTTTACTCCATTTGTCATCAAAAAATGAGCACATATATTTGACACGATTTCCTGTCTTCTCATCGCTTATAATGATAGATAGTAAAAGGAAAAATATTAATATAAATATTTAATATAAATATTAATAAGAAATGATGATACTGTTACGTTGGATATAGAAAGTGAAAAATTACCTTTCTACATCTTTACTAATACTATAATCTTTCATAAAGTCATAATTTTCATTAAGAGCCCTCTCAATAATTTTGGTAGTATGATCAATAAAATCGGCAAAATCTGCAGAATTAACAATTTTCTTCCTGTCTTCGTCGGTTATATCTTTATGAAAAAGAAAGAAAAACGGTTAAAAACATAAAATATATAATATACATATATATATATACATACATATAAGAATGAGCATTTATATATATGTGTATGTGTATATATGTAAATATGCGAATATGAAATAAATTATAATACTTTTGTCTTTTTGATTTTTTTTCTTTTCGGCTTCTAATCTTGCACGTTGTTCTTCCTGAGCCAGTCGTTCCTGTCTTTCAATTTCTTCTAATTCTTTTAGAATCTTTGAACGAATTTCTTCCTCTGAAGGTGGTGGAGGACCAAAAGAATTTTCCGAGGTCTGTACTTCTTTACTATATAAAACGATTTCCTAACATAGGCAAAAAAATTTAAATATAAAGATTATAACTATAAATTGACATAATATCGATTCTTAATACCTTTGGAGCAATATCTAATATAACAGCATCGAACGGTGAGAAATCAGGAATATAACGAGTATTAAGATTTGGTATTTGAGGGCTGTAATATAAAGAAATAGTTTGGTGTTGAGAAAAGTTTATACTAGAACAAAAATAATAGTAAATGCTTCAACGGTCAAAAAAGAACCTTTGAGGAACCGAGGTATTTGGAGAATATTGAGAATGTTGTGAATGCATAGAAATAGAATGCCTTCCCCTTTCAGTTTTGCCTTTATCAGAACCATCAGAATCTTCGGCATTAGATGGAGTTCCAGGACGTACAGTTTTATCCGCTAGTAACGCTTTGACAAGATTATCTACCTCTATCATCTCTTTTTCCTTACGATCCCTTTCCTATTATAAACAAAGACAGTTGAGTCAAAGATTAAGCGAGATTATGATAAATAGTAAGAAAAAAGTGTACCAAATCGACGGGTTTGACCGGAGGGTCAGCATTATGACTAAAGACTTGCTTTCGCTCTTCTCTTGCACGCCTAAGCTCAGCAAGCTTTTGTCTTTTCTTTGCCAATTCTTCTTTTCTACGTTCACCGTCCATTTGAAATAATACACTTCAACGTATTAGTTGATAGTTAAAGAAGCTAGTTTACAGTTTATCGAGTTTTAATAAAATTTTTTTGTATGACCATCAATTTTTTTAAAGATGGAAATGATAACATCCGTTTAATTCCGAAACATACGAAACATGGAATTTGTTTTCTAAATTGGAATCCAGCTTCATCGCATGGGCATTCGAAAAGCAAAGACCCTTTTTACATGCGGCGGTGGCTAAAGTAACGTGATAATATCGTGCGAAAAAAAGTCATAGCTTTAGTGGCATGATCTTAACAGTTAATTTTCATTACATAATTATTACGACACCATTATGGACATTATGACTATATTAAAGAATGCTTTATAAATAAAGCGAAAAAACGCCTTTCAACTTTTTTTTAAAAGTAACTTGTAAAAAATGCTCGAAAAATTAGTGAATCGAGTACAGGCTGGTGAATTATTGGCCGAAGAAGTGGCGAAAAAATATAATAATGACAAGAATGATGTTATTATTTTAGCTTTACCAAGGTAAAGATCTATCTACGAGAGTCTTAGATTTATTAGATTTGTTAATAATCGCCCTTGTCAAATTATGTGTATTTAGAGGAGGAGTTCCTGTTGCCTATCAAATTTCACAACGCATTAAAGCCCCGTTGGATGTCTTCTTGGTGAGAAAAATTGGAGTCGAAGGGTGAGTTTAAGAAATATAGAGCACGTGACGTAAGATATTTAGCGGAATTTATGGTGGCGCGTTTTTCCTATCAGGTCTTCAATACATAAATGTGAAATTGAAAGGGTAAAATTTAAGAAAGATATACTCTTTTGGTATTTCACGGGTATGATAAAACATAGTATAGCTCCTTTTTTCGCAAAGGTTCACGTGACCACGGTTCGAGAATGGTTGATCGAGAATGGTTGATCGGGAATCGTTCAAACTTTTGCATTTAATTCATTTAATTTTAAATTGTAGTCACGAGGAATTGGCCATGGGCGCCATTACTGAAACATCCAGTATCTTCAACGAAGATATTATTGATATGCTTCACATCAAACAAGAATCGATTAATCGTGTGATGAAACGGGAGGTATGCGGGTTTAATTTAAAAAACTAATCGTTACTATAATGATATTTTTATTTTAACGTTAATCTTTTTACCATAATCAGAGTGCCGAGCTGCAACGTCGCAATGAAAAGTATAGAAAAGGAAAACCAGCCCCCAACGTTACCGAAAAGACCATAATTATTGTTGATGGTTCGTATTTATTCATTTTATATTAAAGATTTATATTAACGTTTAATATGTCTTTATAAATATATCGAGATTCTATTATGTTAATCTATTTTGTATAAGATGGCATTGCGACAGGTGCAACTATGAGGGCTACTTATACATCCCTGAAGAAACTGTAATTACATCTATATTAAGCTTAGTCGTTCATTCTTTTGCATTTAGTTTACTTATTTATCATTTATGTCATACCAGTAATCCTAAAAAAATAGTCATTGCCGTCCCCGTTGCATCACCAGATACCCTTACAAAAATGAGTAAAGAAATTGATGATATCATTTGCCTCCTGGTACCAAGAAATTTAGGTGGCATTGGTGCATGGTATCAGGATTTTACGCAGGTAATTTCCTTTTCTTTTTTTTCTCTTTTTTCTCTTTTTAATCTGTGATTTTCTTTACATTTAATAAATATATTTATATATTTTATGTAAGACTGAAGATAAAGAAGTTTTAGAATTACTGGAAAAAAGTGATCGCGATTTTCCCGTTCCCACTATATCAGCTGAGGAGACGGCAAAACTCCAGAACGAAGCTATTATTGAATAATTTATAATTTTTTTTATCGTTATTGATAGTTGCTGGATTTTAAATTTTCTGCGCATAAAGAATAAACTGAATTTATTTTTATTCTTTAATTTTCTGTACGTATGTAGTTATAATGCATAGACTGAATGCATAGACATGATTATATATATATATATTGTTGAATAGTAACGGTAATTAATTAAGATGCATACTCGACCCTGTTCATGCAGTCCCTGTTTAGCCAAGCATTAAATCTAGTTTGTCCAGAATTTTACTGCGACTATTGCATATTCTGCGGTTTGCATACATATAAATGGTACTTTAAATTTACTATCAAAATTTTTAATGGCATTATAAATCATTGAAGGGTTACTCAAAGTTATATTTCTGGATTGCTGTATCGCGTCTTGTTATCCTTATTATCTGATCGACCAATAAATCGTGATATTTTATCTTTTTATTATACTTTTATTTATTTATTTATATGATAATAGTGTGGCCGGAGACGTGGCGCAAAAAATAAATGCAAATCAACTCAGAAAAATTAACGTTAATGCGAAATATATAATCTTATGTCGCACCGCCCCTATTCTTCGGAAAATATTCTACGTAGTACTGTAGTATGGGCACTATTACTGTATATATGCAAAATCAGCGTATAACCATACACACTGGTTAAAAATAAGTGATTTGTTTAGCGAAACTTTATAATTTTATTAAGCAATTTTGAGTAATATAAACTTAGTTACATGGTAATATGCTAAAAAAAAACGCCAATTATTAAACTGAGTTTACCCAATCTATTTTGCTAATGTTATTTATATATGTAAATTATTATCATATTACAATGACTTCGTCTATGTCCTCTGGTAGAGGTTTTAGATTATAGAAAAAGTAATCATCAGGTAAGAGTAACCAATCTCGTACCTTCTCAGAATTGTCAACTGGAACGGAAGAGTACATTTTTCTCCGTAACTTCTCCTGATTCACAAACTCAGTTCGAATTGTCATGAAGAAATTAAATATTTTTGTATAGTAATGAATTGCTTCAAATGAAAACGGAATCAAGCAAGAAACCAGTTCGACAGCCAAGAATTTCTCTTTGCCTATGAGAGAGACTGAAAACAACGTAAGACGATCACCAATAATTTGAATACTATAGGTCTTTATTTCTTTAGCAATTTCGACACTACAATCTAGGTTATTTCCAAGCGTTCGGCAAAGGCTACATACAGACATCATAAGCAACTTTTTAGCATCTCCGACTGTGTGTTCTCGTGTAACTTTAAAGGGAGGTCCTGAGACTTCAGTGTTCATTATTTCCAATCCGTCTGATAAACGTATGACAAGTAGATCCGTCTTTCGTGAATTGATATCTTCTGCAAACATGTTGTTTGCCTCTTTTATTGAAGCAACATTTTTTTCGATCCAATCATATTTAATATCCGGGAATGCATTTCGGAATGCACGGAAGATAGGTGAAAGCGATTCCACAATATATGTTCTTTCAGATATTTCACGGTCTAAAACTCTCGGTATTCTGTATCTGAAGTTAGCTACAAAATCCATGAGTACATCCCTTATGAAGCAGTTGAACCTTGCTTCTTCTGTATATTTGTCACCGTTGATAACTGTTTCCAAATTGATTTTTGATTCTATCTCTGTGTATTCTGTTTCGAATATCGTATCCAACTTCTTAATCAAAGTTTCTGGCAAAATAGGTCGGTCTTTCGCTTGTAACAGATTTTTTATTTCTGTGTAGATTCCTTCTTCAATAGTTTCTTTTATGTAATTTATTGTCGCGTTAAATGCGCAAATGAGGTATGGTGAATATCTATCATACATATATTTTGTTATGATAGGTTTTTGCGGTGTAAAAATTGTGGCTCGTCGAGTCGATTGGATAACTGAACGTGGTGTATCTTGCGAAGTAGAAATAGTATCCAATAATGATCGTTGGGTTGATTGGATAACTGGACATGGTGTGTTTTCACGCGAAGTAGCAATATCTTCTAAAATTTCTGATGGTGTCAGGGATTGTTGGGATGTGTTTGGTGTAATTTCATGCGAAGTAGTATATTCTAGATTTGGTGCCTTTGAAGTTTCTACAAATGGATCGATGACACCATTATCCATACCATCACTCACTTTTATACGTGATCGTTTTTTTTTTAGTTCTTGTTTCTTTTGTTTCTTGATAGGTTCCGAATCAAAGTCAGAACATTTATGATCATACGTGAAACAGTAAAAAAAAAATCAAATTACTTACTCTCTTGGGTTTCTCCGTGTAGTCTTGATCCGATGAATGATCTTCTTTCTCTGAACTTACAGTATAACATACTGATTTTCGTTTTCTATTCGATTTCTTTCATGCAAGAAAATCATAAATCAGTTTCAGTCGATTAAAAATACACGGCTAAAGATTGTGCATCCATACCTTAACGTCGAAAGATCCATTATTGATCCCGATCAATGAGTTATCCGCCTTGACTTTGCGAATATGAACCGACGGTCCACTGACGGGTTTAGTTTCCTTCTTCCAACTTCGAGCAAGTTCATAATCAGAGCCCTAGCAAATAAATTTTGGTGTTAAATAATATTATTGATTGTGACAGATTAAAATGAAATCAGATTAAAATGAAATGAGAGATAGTGTAAAATAGACAAGCCACTGAAAAATACAAATTTTGGGAGTACACTTTTTTAGTATTTTTTTTAGGATTAAAATTAGGGTTTAGGAGTAGTTTTTATAATAAACAAGTATAAGTGGGGTTTAGAGGTGCAAATAAAAATCTCTCATTTCATTTTAATCTGATTTCATTATGATCTGCGACATTGATTGCCTTTAAAAATTCTTTATTCGATTTTTGATCCCACAAGGTCAACCCAAAGTCTTAAACGTAAGAAATTCCCAAAGATATTGTCTTACGCCTAGTGGGGCAAGTGTTGGATCGACCCAAAGTCTCAAACGTAAGAAATTCCCAAAGATATTGTCTTGCGTCCCAACACCGCTTCGTAGCTTGTCCCAAAGACTTAATTGATGCATGACCCAAAGTACACGCATCAACGCCACCAAAATACTTATCGATGTTTTTAACAAGAAAATAAAGAAAATAAACTTTCCTGTCTATACTGTTCAAGTAAGTTCTTCGCCCGTTCACGCCTTGGGCCTTTTTGAGTATCATAAATAGCCTCGAGGGACGTAAGGTACGACTCTATCTTTTGTTTGAATAATGGTATATTACATTCTCCCAAAAAAGCCAAGATATTCCAATTCTCAGGCTCGCGATTAAAAAACTCGTGTATCTTGTTAACTGACATTGACGATAAAAAAGACTTGGTAAAAAGAACTTTTTTTTATAGTCCAGTTAAGGGTAGGGTGTACGTAGATCATTTTTCATATGATCTACGTGGTATATTAGATTTTTATATAGTAAATAAAAA